CACCGCCAACCGCAAGGAGCGGCGCAGGACTCAGAGCATCAACAGCGCTTTCGCCGAACTTCGGGAGTGCATCCCCAACGTGCCCGCCGACACCAAACTCTCCAAGATCAAGACGCTGCGCCTGGCCACCAGCTACATCGCCTACCTCATGGACCTGCTGGCCAAGGACGACCAGAACGGCGAGGCGGAGGCCTTCAAGGCGGAGATCAAGAAGACAGATGTGAAAGAAGAGAAAAGGAAGAAGGAGCTGGTCAGTACCAGGGGGCAGCGGGCAGCAGGGTGCGGGGAACTGATGCTCCGGATTCCTTTGCAGTTGGGCTGAGCCAGGGCAGGCCGGGTGCTTTGGCTGCGTCCTGAGCCCTGAGCCACGGTTGTTCGCAACCAGGTTGTGGTCGGGACGGCTTCCCGCAGAAGCAGAGAAGGTGGGGGAGGGTGGCAGCACGCGGAGGAGGCTGAGGGATGCTTCGCGCTGGTGATCTTCCTCCCAGGTTGTCGCTTCTCCTCCAGGCACTCAGGGCGGGCCTCGTGGCCTCGGGGTCCGGATGCATCTTCCGATCGCACTGGCCCGGACCCCTTATTCCTTGTCCTTTAGGCCTTCATTTGGCCTCCAATCTGATCTTGCTTCCAGACATTTCTAAAATAAGTTGCTCGGAAGCACTTGATTTCAATTATTTCACTGTTGATCGCATTTCCCCCTCTTGAGAACAAGGCTGCCGCTGGTTCTGAGTTTCGTAGTTGTTCTGATTACTGTGCCCTGAAGACGTAAAGGTAAACATAAAATAAGTACTTTAAACTTCAAAATGCTTCTCTCTGGCAGTGAGGTTAAAACTTCCCGGACGAATATCCTGCATGGTATTTATTTTGTTTGCACGAGCCTGGACATTTTAAGACAAACAGTAAATATTGCCATAGTCATCGTTATTGTTGTTAACAGTAACACGAAATTACAAGTGAAAATTAGTTTCCTCAAATTCCTACCAGGTGCCCACAGTGTCGTGGTGTTCAGAGCAGGGCTACTGCCACCACGGGCCTGGAGAAGAATCCCATTTGTTGAGTTTTTCTTCTCTGGGGCCTGTAGCGCCTTATTAGCTGCGTAGTCGAGTGATCCCCGAGTAACCGGGGATTCCAGAGGCCTCGGAGGAGAGGCACTGCCGGGCCGAGCCGCCGGCGCACAGGCCCAGGCCAAGGCAGAGGCACCTCGCCCCGTCTTCTCCCGGGCGCGGATCTGAGGCCTCGATTGAAAGCAGGGAATCCAGATTGAGTGCCGACCCCCTGCTCGCGTCCCTACATCTGGAGTCAGAGAAAAGGCCCCCAGCTCCTCCATAAACGACTTGAAAACGGGTGATTGTTTATAAACTTGCCGATCCGGGAGTCGAGCGCTGCGGGCGTGCGGAGGCCCGGGCGGTAGCTAGGGCAGCGCCAGCCTTCGCAGCTCGTCTGCCGGGGCTGGGACTTGCATCCGTCCCGCCCGCCATCCCTGGCTCGCTCTCCCACGCTCTGCTCTGGCCGGGAAGGCGCGGACGGGAGGTGCGGGGGGGGTGGGGGTGGGGGTGGGGGCGTGGAACCGGGTCTCCTCTCTGATTTTTTCTCTTTCTGCTTCTCTCCCCCTCGCCTCTCCTCTGCCCAGAACGAAATTTTGAAAAAGCACAGTGAGCAGCAACGACAAGAA